GAATGAGGCTGACATCAGGGTGGGGGTAAGACTGAGAAAAACTGGATAAATTGTGTAGACTGCATTGAAGCTGATGAGGGAGAGAACAGTTTAAAAGTAATATATTTTAGGGCATTATGATTATCATTAGAGTTCAGAATGAGGCTTGCAGAGTGCAGTATACTCGGGGTGAGTGTAGGGGTGTGCCGGGGCATTGTATACCAATGAAGGAGTTTTTCTTTGTTTTTAAAGAAGAGCGAACTGGGGGTGGGGGTGGGGTGGATAGGGAGAAAAGTGCAACAATGAATGAATGGAAATCCACAATCTCTGTAAATGTTCATTGAAATTAATAAAAACAAAAAGAAAAAAAAACACAAAAAACTGAGCCTGTGCCGAATAAAGTTATTTAAAATTCTTGAAGTCTTTAGTTCCTCTTGCCCAACTATTTTATGTCTATCTTTTCTTAAGTCTTTCCGATACCCGACTCTTGGACCTTTTCTACACTTGGACTCTACAACTACAACAGTTAATTTTATCTTTTCTTTAGTTGTAGGGAAAGCCAGATTTAACAACTTCTGCTTGACTTCAGAAAAAAATAAATCAACATGCTTCATAGCACTGAACCCCTAGAAATTTCACTGAGGTGGAAATAATAGTAATTTTTTTGCCTGATTCATTCTTTTCTCTTTTCTTCTTGTTGTTGTTATGTGCTGTCAAGTTGCCTCCGACTCATAGTGACCCTATGTGCAACTTTGCTCTCTCCTGGGCCAATCTTACTGTCAATCTTATTGACATACGTATCCCTATTACCCTAATCACTGAATCAATCCATCTCATCAAAGGTCTTTCTATCCTGCACTGTCCCTCTACCTTCCCAAGCATGACGTCCCTCTCCAAGGACTGGTCCCACCTTGCAACACGTCCAAAGTATGTCAGACGGAGCTTCAGAATCCTTGCCTCCAAGGAGTAATCTGGTTTCACCCTCTGCAGGACGAACCCGTTCCTTCTCTTTAGCAGTCCATGGTATATTCAGTACTCTTCTCCAGCACCACAGCTCAAAGGCATTCTCCTTCTATCATCCCTAGTCATTGTCCAGGTCTCTCATGTATATCCTTATTCAGGAATTGAGGGAATCACATAAATTGGCATTTCTTTTGTGACAGATCACAGAAAATGAGCTGTTTCCTGCAGACAAGAGACAGATAGGTCCCCCTGCAGAGGGACTGTTAATATGTGTGAAATACTTCCTTCCTGAACTAAGTAACAGTTTGACAATAGAGAAAAATTTGGCTTCATTTACAAGAGAATTCTTTTTATGATTTGCTTCCCCTTATTCTCAATAAATACACAGAGAGGCATGGCTTGTGGCACTTCAGTTGATTCGAACTGCTGGCCCCTTGTCTTTTATGCACTCTGTTTACTTATAAATTCTTGGTGTTTCGTCTCATTATTAATTATTGATATGCTTTACCCAAGGTCTGCAACAAGTGATTGTGAAGACCAGGGCCTGTATCAGGAGCACCTTAGTATCCAGAGTGACACCATTGCTCTTCAATACTTTGGAGAGGTTTCTAACATCAGACTTTCCCAACACAATATGTCTCTTCATTTTCTGGCTGCTGGTGCCAAGAATTGATTGTGGAACGAAGCAAACTAAAGCTGTTTACAATCTCAATCTCTTCAAGATCCATCATGATGCTGCCAGTTGGCCCAGTGGTGAAAATCTTTGTTTTCTTGATATCAATCTTCGATCCATGTGGAAGGCTGCAGTCCTTGATTTTCTGCAGCAAGCGCTTCAGATCCTCTTCCGTTTCAGCAAGCAGGGTGTTGTGTTGTCTACATAATGCAAATTGTTGATGAGTCTTCCTCCAATCTTGATGCCACATTCCTCCTCATAGAGCTCAGCCTCCCGGATAATCTGTTCTGCGTATAGACTGAAAAAGTATGCAGATAGGACACATCCCTGGTGTACACCCTTCCCAATTCTGAACCATGCAGTGTTCCCTTACTCCATTCTGATGATTGTCTCCTGGTCCAAGTATAGGTTTCGAATAGCATGATCAAGTGTTCTGGGATTCTCATTCTTCTGAGTCAGCCACAGTTTGTTGTGGTAAAAATATGAGGTGACTGGATTATCTTTAATCTCTAGCATGTGAAAATATCTTGACATTTCTCCTTATTAGGTTTGATCAGCATATTTCCATCCATGTAATGGACAAGTATGGCATACTGTGTAAATGAGAGGCAATAAAAGACGCTGGTGTATTGGATTCCCCTTTTCTTGTGAGTGTGTAAAGTAGCTCAGCATCCAGAGGACTCTGAAGAAGAATGTTGCATAAGGACCAGAAGAAGACTCATCAACACCCTGTTGTATGCTGATGAATGACACAGCCTTGCTTACTGAAAGAGAGGAAGACTTGAAGCACTTGCTTCGAAGACTAGGGCCTTCAGGATAGATTACATTTCAACATCAAGAAAACAAAAATTCTCTCTACTGGACCAATAAGCACCATTGTGATAGATGGATATAAGATTAAAATTGTCAATGATTTTATCATCCTTGAATCTACAATCAAGACCCTGAGTATTGTTACCATTTTCTCAGGGTTGTAGTTGGGAGATGGAAGAATGAACTCACAAACCACACAAGCTGGAGTAAAAATGAGCTTACACAAGGTTTATTGATGCAGCACAGAAGCAAACTCCCATGCTTGTGGGAGGGGCTCCTAGGGGAGGAAGCCTCTGGTCCACTGGGCTACTATAAACAATAGCAACAATAGCAAAGTTCAACAGGGCAGCAAACAACAAATTCTGGTGAGGTTGAGGAGAGGTTGTGACTCTTATCCACTGCTGGTGGGAATGTAAAATAGTTACAACCACTATGGAAGGCATTCTTGTACTTTCTCAAAAAGTTGGAAATAGAAATACCATTTGACCCAGCAATTCCACTACTGGGAATATATCCTAAAAAAATCCAGAGCTTTAACTCGAACAGATGTATGTACACCCATGTTTATTGCTGTGTTATTCACAATAGCAAAGAGATGAAAGCAACCCAACTGCCTATCAACAAATAATCAATCATTTGCTATGGATCAGAAAGCTGGACAATGACTAAGGATGACAGAAAAGAAGTGATGCCTTTGAGCTGTGGTGTTGTGCTGCATATCCTATGGATGGCCAAAAAACCAAACAGAGAAGTCTTGGAGAAAATGAAGCCAAAGTGATCCTTGGAGGTAAAGATGACAAAATATCTTCTCACATACTATGGACATGTTGTTAAGAGAAAGATAGATCCTGGTTGGAAAGGTAAAATCTCAGTGAAAGAGAGGAAGATCCTTATCAAGACAGATTGACAGAGGTACTGCAGCAATGGGCTCAAATATGCCAGACATGCGAGAATGGCACCTGGCAGGACTGGATGAAGATGTTGTTCATAGGATTGCTATGAGTTATACTCAACTTGACAGCACCTAACAACAACAAAGTGCATCAAGTCTGAGAGTTGATTGAGAAACAATGCCTCATTGCTCTGGAAGTTCAAGTTTGACTGCCTTTCCTTTGACTTAGAATTCTTCTGCTTGTCCAAACAAATGGATTTCACAAGCACACCATGATTAAGTAGTCAAGGCCCTAAGACCACATGAGTCTGACTGATACCATGACCGCACCTACCTTGTCTTTGTCAATTAAGTGATACAACTTGTCCCCCACCACTGGTGGAATCATATGAGCCCCATTTTAGTTTGATATCTTAGTTTAGTTAGAGCAGTTCTCACTGTCAAATCTGATTTATGTAAAATAGTGATCATAGCAGTGTTCTAAGATAGCATGGCTTTCTTTGCAATTTCCCCTCCGTACTGCTGTGGTGAAAAGTGTGTCCTCTGTGTGTTCCATGATTGAGTCAGTGGGTCCAGTCTGATAAATTACTGTATGCATGCCATTTTCCCTATGCCTTTGGATATCTTCTACCATATACCAAGTAAGGCCTGGCATTCCAACTTAATTCAGTGTCAAGCCACTGCTTCAATGCTTCAGTTTAACAAAATGAACTATTTGACCCTTACCTAACACCCTGACCTGAGACACTGAATAAAGAATTTGTGCTCACAACAATAAACTCAGACTCTTCTAACATTAGGTTCCTTGTGCTGTTTATCCAGCACCTTTATATGCATACATAGCCTACAAGTTTACAATATTAGGAAAATGAAGCAGCTCTTTAGGAGTATAATGTACCTCCTCCAGAGTCATACATTATACTTCACTTCTTGAGCCTTGCTGAGACTTAAGGATAGTTGCAGACTTAGAAGCATAAATGGGGTGTGGGGGTGGGATTGGGTCCTGGGGACACTCACTGGTGTTTTCTAAGTCACCAGGCCCTAGATATGCTCTAATGCTTCAGGAGGTATCTAATGCTCGTGGGGTTTCAGGAGCAGATGAATCTAAAAATCTCCAAGGAAGGTGGCAGGCTGCTGATTCATCTTCCTAGAGGTGGAGACCATAGGATGATGGATTGCAGGATTAAGAGTAGGCAAGCTCTGCTACAACATACTGGATGTGGATTACACCACCAAAGAAACTCTCCTTTCAACTGATTGGCTGCTCACATTAAATAACAAATGGAGGATGGGGAGATACTCTCTGCCAAACCACCGAGAAAGAAGGCCTAGCCAAATAACTTTACAAGTTAAGTTATTTAACAGAACTGAGAACTCAAAACACAGGCTCCAAGAAGCTTTTCCCTGTCCATTTTTTCACTCTTACAGCAATAATCCCTGGCTGTCTTTAAGGTTTTTCAGAAAGACACATGATAGATTTATTTGTATAGCAGACTCAACTTCCAGTTTAGTTATCACTGCAAGATTCGCAGAAGCAGAATCTGGTGACTGGAAAAAAAACTACATAAGAGGTTTCGTTCCCCCCAACCAACCCCACACCCCGCCCCTTTCTTAATTAACTTCCCTATTTCTAAGTTTGCCTTCTAAACACCTTTGGACTCTATCTAGCACAGTTCTGGGATGACTTTTGAGATTCAAATGTTTCAGACCATATATTCTAACAACCTATGCCTGCTTCAGACACTGACTGTTTTGCTGCTGTTGGGTGAGTGAGGGTCATTCTGGGATCAGCAATTTCCACTAATCCTACTGCCCTGACTTCAGGGACCACTGTGGAGTCTGGGAACAGGAGACAGGAACCCGAGTTCTTACTGTCCCACTGGTTACGAAGGTCAAAATTCAGAGGTGCTTCTGAGTCCCTGGGAAGGCCATTTTACACAAAATATTAATGTTTGCTTTGTAGCCACGTGAACAGCCTGGGACAACATAGGGAGGATATGAGAAAGGAGTAATCTTATAAGTGATCAGCTGGAAACAGGTTCTGCAAATGGGTCTTGGGAAGAAAAGGGACCCAAGATTATCTCCTGGACTCCCCTCTACACACACACACACACCACAATTAAATGTGCTCTCATTTCCTTCTACATTAACCATCTCTTTTATCTTTTACAGCTTCTGTAGATGGGCAAGCTGGTAAGTTCACTCTATGCTTTCTTTTTGTTCCCTCCCAATGTGATGCCATATGTACTATGTATACCAAGCATTTACTGTTCTATTAAGAATAAAGCTCAGATTCAGCATGGGCTGATCTCCCATTTCAGTGGACTTCGAGATTGGATTCTTGGTGGGATTCCCACTGGATTCATTAAAGATCCGAAGGCCCAAGGGATTGGGGCTGCTGCAAGTACACAGATTTTTCTTTGTCATTCTTATTCATTATCCAGTTCTCCAATGCACAGCAGGTGACTGAAGAGACCATGGCTTAAATCAGGCTCACATTCTTAGTCTTTAAGCTGATGTCATTGCTCTTCCGGTCTTTGGAGAGATCCCTGACAGCAGACTTTACCAGTGCAATAGGTCTTTTGATTTCTTGGCTGCTGGTACCAAGGGAATTGCTTGTGAATCTAAGCAAGATGAAATAATTGACAACTTTAATCTTTTCTCTATCATGATGTTGCCTGTTGGCCCAATGGTGAGGATCTTTGTTTTCTGCACCTTCTTAGACAAGATGTAATCCATATGGAAGGCTGTAGTCTTTTATCTTCTGCAACAAATGTTTCAAGTTTTCCTCACTTTCAGCAAACAAGGTTGTGTTTTGTGCATAATGCAAGTTCTTGACCGTATTTTTCTTCATAAAATTCTGCTTGTCAAATGATTTGTTCAAGATACAGACTGAACAGATATGGAGCAAGGATACAGTCTTGATGCATATCTTTCTTGATTTTAAATTATATAGTGTTCCCTTGTTCTATTTGAACAACAGCTTCTTAGTCTAGGTATAGGTTTTGTATAAGCACAATTAAGTGTTCTGGAATTCCCATTTTCCTTAATACTAGCCATAGTTTGCTATGATTTAAAAAGTTAAATGCTTTTTGCATAGCCAATAAACACAAATAGACATTATTCTGGTATTCTTTGCTCTCAGCCAAGATCCATGTGACAATAGCAATGATATCCCTGGTGCCATGGCCTCTTCTAAACCCAGCTTGCAATTCTGGCAGTTCTCAGTGAATGTACTGTTCTAATCATTTTTAGATGAGCTTCAGCAATATTTTGCTTGTGTGTGATATTAATAATATTGTTCTATAATTTCTACATTCTGGTGGATCACTTGGGAAAGGGAACAAATATAGATCTCTTCCAGTCAGCTGACCACGTAGTTATCTTCCAAATTTCCGGACACAGACTGGTGAGCACATCCAGGGTTGCACCTGTTAGTTGAGACATAACCGTTGGTATCCCATTGATTCCTGGAGCCTTAGTTTTTACCATTGCCTTATATACAGCTTAGACTTCTTTCATCATCATTGACTCTTTTTTCCCTTTCTTTTGTGCTGACAATTTATTAGGGTTTGATGAATTAAGGCTCTTATGGACACAAAACTCTCAAATCCTCAAGCCTTTAGTAATCAAAGAGTTGATCCAAACAAGTACTTTAAAAAAAAAAAGTATGTCAAAGACAAGTGATGTTTGTAAACAAGTGATGTTTATAAATAGTTTATAAGAAAATCATCTGGGTTTAATAATTTTCATTGCCCCCCCCCCAACATAAATAGCTCTCATACCAAGAAGCACTTCTCCTTAGAGAGGAGAGAAAAAGCCCAAGAAAAATACTTGAAGACATACGGAAGTTTCTGAGCCAGACTCAGTCTTCTTACTTTTATTTGAGAAGCCAGGGAAGGGTCAGGGAAAGCGGACAGCTAGTAAATTTCAATGGAAAAGATTACATGTAACAGCAACAGTTCCCCCCCCACACACACACACACTTTGGAAAGCCAATAAACTCCCATAAACATTCATTTGTAAGTTTTAATGGTACTTTCTTTTGGTACCAACAGTCCAAACTGCTCCACGAAAGTTTAACCAACCATGACCCAAACTAAGTTGGCTGTAAGTCCAGCTTACTATACTTGTGTCTATGCTGACGAGCATTTCAAGCCAATGGGGTAAAAAGCATGGTGAGAGGTGCAGGAGTAAAGAGGGTGGACTGTTTGCAGGAAGTTATCTCCAGGAGGTGTCGCCCCACGTGGAGCACCGTGCCGCAAGGCGCCTGTCTCAGTACTTGCCTGCGTGCTTCAGCCGCATCACCGTGAAGGTCGCAGCCGTCAGTTTCTCGTAAACTATGAACAGGAGGGCCGCAGTCAGGACCGTCTGCAGCAGTTTGGCTTCTAGGCCTTTGTAGAGTCCCATTATTCCAAAGCGCTTGACTCGCTTGTGTAGCAGGTAGATAACATTCTGGAGACTTCCCAAATGTTCTGTTTTCTGGGTTTAGTCTGTGATGTCCAAACTTCAAAATCGATTGTATAGTCTGCATGGGGTAGGTGACAGTGGTGGCAATTGCTTTGGCTATTGCACCAATGATGAACACATCCAAAGAAGCTTCACGCGTTTCTTTAAAAGCTGCCGTTTGATGAAAAATAAATAAATTAAAATTTTAAAAATGAAAAAAGTAATAAAAAAAAAGCTGCCATTTGAGTCCTTCATAGAACATCAACAGGATCGCATGACTGAAGACCAATAAATAGCAAGGAGGGGAATGTGCCATTCCACAAAGCCAAATTCCTTTGTCTAGAATGATCTGGTGAAAAGCATCAATGATACCGTTGTAGTTGGTTGGTACAATGTCTTCATTCCTAAATTTTGCCCCTTGTGGCTTCAGCCTGGTATCTACTACCCAGAGTGGAGTCGTTAGCAATATATTCACCACTCCTGAAACAAATCCAACTACGAGATCCTTTCCAGTAGTAGAGCGCTGACCTTTGACCCAGACTGTTTTTGAGGCTATTAAAAGTGCAGAAATAGACAAAACTGGAGATAACTGGAAACCAGCGTCGATATGGCGCCAGGAGGCCTTCTTTGATGATCTCCAGGAGCACCATGTGTGTAGTTTTGGACTTTCTTTTCTCATCAACCTGAAGTCGAAGCCTAGCTGTGTCCAAAGGAAAAAATACGGTCATTGCTGTCACGCTTTCCACGGCGTGAACCAGCCTCTTATAGGACAGCACGGAAGCCATGGACGCTGCTAACGTGGGGCCCGACAGCACTTAGCCAGCAGGTGCTGCAGCTGGAGAAGGTAAACGGAGCGAGGAGTCCCGCGAGCGCCCCACCACCCCATCATTGGCTCTTGATCATAAGCTACTTCCTGAAATATTTCGGAATTGGTTTTAACCAATTCTTTTTTTGGTACAATGAATCTGTGCATTCCCATCTTCTTTTGATGCTTCCTAGATCATGCAAGATTTTGCCCATAGCTTCTCTTAGTATTGCAACTTGAGGCTTGAATTTGTTTTCAGTTCTTTCAACTCGATAAATGTAAAGTGAATTCTTTTATTCTCCCACTCCAGCTCTTTGTTTGTTTTTCTGTAATACTTTGCTATGTTCTTGAACTGCCCTTTGAAATCTTCTGCTCATCTCGTTTTCATCTGTTCTCTTTCCTTTGTTTTGGTTTCTTGGTGCTCTAGTGTAATTTCAGAGTCTCTTCTAACTTTCATATTGGATGTCATCATTTCTTTCTCTTTTGTCTTTGTAATGACCTTTTGTTTTCTTCACCGATGATATCTTTGAAATCATTCCAGAGCTCATCTGGTCTTTGGTTTCAGTTCTTCAGATCTGTTAGAGTTGGTTTTTAAATTCTGGTGGGATAGACTCCAGATTGTATTTTGGATTTTGTGGACTTGTTTTCATTTTCTTCAACTTCAATTTGAACTTGTACATGAGTAGTTGATGATCTCTTCCATAGTCAGCACCTGGCCTGGTTTTGACTGTTGATACTGAGCTTCTCCAATGATTCTTTGCACAGATGTTATAAAAATTATTTCTGTGCAGACCATCAGATGAGGTCCCTGTGTAAAACTGCCTCTGTGTTTTTTAAAAAATATATTTGTGATTAATAAATCATTGTATGTATAAAATTAATTCTATCTCCAGCCTAATTTCTATCACTAAGTCATAATTTGTGTCTACCATTCTTTCTATTGTTTCCAGCTTTTGCATTCCTATAACCAATTACTATTAGTGAGTGTTGACTATGTTTGATCAGTTGAAGACTACAAAAGTGTATAGACTTCCTTATCTTTGGCCTTAGCTGTAGTGCATATGTTTGAATAATAGTTGTATTAACAGGTCTTCCTTGCAAATGTATGGATAATAGCCTATCACTCACATCATAGTATTTCAAGATAAATCTTGCAATGGTCTTTCTAATTATGAATGTAACACCACTCTTCTTCAATTTTTCATTCCCAGGATAGTAGATCATGTGATTGACTTAAAAGTGGCCAATAAAAAAAATTTGAAAAATTTTTTAAAAAAGTGGCCAATGCCAGTCCGTTTCAGTTCACTAAAACCTAGAATGGTTATCTTTATAATTTTCACTTAATTTTTGACAACTTCAAATTTTCTTACATCCACAATTTGCACATTCCGTGCACCAATTATTGACGGATGTTTGTATCTTCCTCCCCCCCTTTTTAATATCTTTTACACAGGGTGGAATAGGGTTCAGATCTGCTGTTCATCAGGCCTCTATGAATGGTATTTTACTCTATCGCACTTAACAACAATGGTAATTCTTTTTGACACTTAATCACCCCTGGGAGTGCATTGGAATTCAGTTATTTATTTGCATTCTTTCCTGTTTCCTGCCCCTCAGCAGATCTTCCAAAGGCAGTGGTGAACATCGAGCCCCCATGGATCAATGTGCTCAGGGAGGACTATGTGACTCTGAAGTGCCACGGGGCATACATCCCGGGTAACCACTCCACCCAGTGGTTCCACAGAGGGAGCCTTGTGCCAACTGGGGTCCAGCCCAGCTACCGCTTTAAGGCCGCCTTGGATGACAGCGGAGATTACAGGTGCCAGACACCCCTGACCAGCCTCAGCAACCCAGTGCAGCTGGAAGTGTTTTCTAGTGAGTGGAGGACAACCTGGAGGGTCTGGGGGGACAAGGGGAGAGGCAATCTGCTTACGTTGTGGTTTTCAGGAAAGCGGATGGGGTGGGCTGTTGTTTTAGGAAGGATGGCTGCGAGTTGTTGGAAGTTGCTTTACCCACTCATATCCCTTTTCACTCATCTCCTTTTTCAGCATATGTGGTGAGGGTAGAAATGTCTATAGCATTCTTCAGAATATGTTCCTGATAATTTTTTGCTGGCAGAGCACAAAGACTACAAGACCACAGGCAGACAGATGAGTGTGAGAGAAGAAGAAAGAAGTTATTATTTTTTAAAAATTGTATCATCACAGCTGTATGGTAAAGCAATGGAGTTGGAAGCAAACAGACCTGCAAAGACCTTATGCTGGATTGATGCCTGACATATGTGAGAAACAACAAGCAGGCCATTTGATTGAAGTGCAGGAGGCTGCAGGGAGCCACCAAATGTGGAATGTCAGGTCAGAGGTGGGAGGAGATCAGGTAGAGGCGAGTCATCAGGACAATTTTAACTAAAGCAGTTATACAACAGGATTCAGGTTAATATAAACATTTTGCCATATACCATTTAATAGGCCCAATGTGTGTCAGAACAGAATTTGGCTCCATAGGATTTTCAATGGCTGAATTTTTGGGAGCTAGATCACCAGACCTTTCTTCAGAAGTGTCCTGGGTGGATTCAAACTTCCAACCTTTCAGTCAGAAGCCAAGCACATTAACTATTTGTACTACTAGTAGTTTCTGGGTGAAATATTAACCATTGAAAACCCTATGGAGCCTACTTCTCCTTGAACTGTACCTTCATATGCTTTATGCAAACTGTGCTTTGGTGAATGAACCTTGACCAGCCACTGTTTAATATTCCTATTTAATCCCATGATGGTGGTTTATATAGTCTTTTTTATAAGTATTTTTTTTTACTTTTTTGTTAATTCTAATGAAAGATTATATAGTCTTTTATATACAGAGTATATAGTCTTTTAAGACTCTGTACTAGAGGAATCTTGTAAGTAGAGTCACTTTCTGTTAATGATACTTCATTGAAAGGAGGATGAATATTTTTATATACTTTAAAAATTGGTTTCATACAATAATTACTATACATTATGTCTTGTAATATCAATTACAATTGTTTAAATCCTTTTCCCACCATGTCTTGTCAAATTTTCGTGCACCTTGCCTATTTCTTCACTCCACCTAACTGTTCACTAATCTGCTTCTGTAGTTTTGCTTTGTTTTTCCTCCCCTTTTCCCTTCCTTCTCTTGGAACAATTACACATATCCTGTTCCAAGCTGCTAATTGCAGTACCCATCTTTTCAGTTCATCCATTCTTTCCAGGCTGATCTTTCCTTCCCTTGATCTTCTACACTGTTTATTGTTTGTACATTCTAATTTTGAAATGTCATTGTGAAATATTTCCCCCCAAGTTTATGGACTTTCTTTTCACTCTACTGGGAAAAATTTTTTTGATGTGCAAAAGCATTTTATTTTATAAGATCTCACTGGTTGATTTTATCCTCTACTAGTTGTGAGGTTTTGGCTATGTTTGCAAGCCTATTCATGCCATAGACCAGGGTTTCAAATTTTGTTCCTATGTTTTCTCTGAAGCTCTTTACAATTTTTGGCTTTACTCTTAAATCTGAGCCACTTTGGTTTGAATTTTGTGTATAGTGTGAGACATGTTTCTTGTTTTAGTTTTCTGAAAGTAGATGTCCAGTTTGGCCAACATCTTTTTTTTTAAGGCTATCAGTTACCTATTTAATGGGTTTTGTTTCCTTGTTGAATATCAATTCACTGTAGGTAGATGCGTTGAATTCTGAGTTCTCAAATCTATTAATTTAAATGCCTGTTACAGTACCAATGTCATGCTGTTTTGATTACTACAGCTGTTTAGCAGGTTTTGAGACTAGAGTGCATGATGTCTCGGATTTTGGGTTTTTTTTTTCCCCAGAGGAGTTTTGCTTTTGGGGGTTCTGGAAGGTGAATAAATATTTATTCAACCTCAGACACCTGCCCAATAACATCACAGGTGTACCTATAGTCTTTGTCTGCTTCATCTTTCCCAGAAAGAGCTGTACTTCTGGCTTTTTTTGGAGAAAATATAAAAATATAGATAAAATCTGAAGGATTCTTGGAAAGGAATAACCTAGACCCACCCCTCTACTGAACAAGAAGTTAAGCCTTTGAGACACAAAATCTCAAAAATTAATGGTAGAACCAAACTTGAAGTTGTGATTTGTAATTTCTGTTTTATGCCCTCTTAACAATACCTTGCCTTCTGTATAAAGGATGTTGCTTTCTTAAATAAACGAGTTTTCAATTAAGATGTGTTGCTGTTGTTATGTGCCATTAAGTTAACTACAACTCACAGTGACTCTGTGAACAATGGCTCCAAACCCTGCCCCTATCCTGAACAAGCCTCATCTGACCGTATCGCCACAGTCACTGTGTCAATCCATCTCATCCAGGGTCTTTCTCTCTTGTGCTGACCTTCCATCCTTCCACCCATGATGTCCTTCTCCAAGGACTAGCCCCTCCGGACAACATGTCCAAAATAAGTGAGACAGATTTTTCAAAATCCTTGCTTCCAAGGAGCAACCTGATTTCACCTTTTCCAGGACAGACTTGTTTGTTCTCTTAGCAGTCCATGGAATGTTCAATACTCTTCTACAGCACCACAACTCAAAGTATTAATTTTTTTTCTCTGTCATTCTGTAGTATATGATATTTCTTTTGTAGTAAATAGCCACTTGTTTTGTCTACTATGTTTACAGACTTGATGTGCTATACTGGATTCATTATGACTTTTTATGCCATTGACTCTGACTTTTATGGTGTTGCTGGGTATGACTATACAAATATGTGGTGTTTCTACTACAAGAAAAACAAACAAGACATTTAAATGGAAGAATAAACCTTATTAATGGATAGGAGGGCTTACAGTTGTAAATACATGCTGTAATGTACTTTTAATGTACTATGCAACATTAAATAATAATAATTTGATAAATACTGCATAATGTGGATATAAAACAATCTCAATTCAAATACTGCCACTATTCTTCAAAGAGATGTAAAATATAATCACCAACTTTATGTGAAGAGGAAGGAGACTACAGATTAACAAAGCACTATTGAAGAAGAAAAACTAAAAAGGAGGCCTCACACTTCCTGGTCTAAGCATCTACTTTACAACAATGGTAGTCAAAACATATCAATACTGATCTAGTGATAGATACATAGACCGATGATATAGAATTGAGAGCCCAGAAGTAAATCCATCCACCCAGAGACAAATGTTCTTTGACATTGACGAAGAAATGAAATCTGTTAAATGGAAAAAAAGCAGCCTCTTTAATAAATGGTGCTGGCAAAACTGAATGTCAAATTGCAGAAAACTCAAACAGGTTCCATACCTCACAACACAGACAAAAACCTAATTCAAGATAGATCAAAGACATAGACAAAAAATCTAAAACTGTAAAGATGATCAAAGAACAAATAGAGGGGAAGTTTAGGGGGTTTTAGTTATTCTGTGGAAGAAAGATTTCTTCCTGTGTGACTTACTACCTCTAAAAACTGGCTGGAGGGTCAACTAGCTATGGATCAGTTTCGGCTTGAAGACACATAACAACAAAAACCACAACAACAATGCCCTAGTGAGTAAGGAATTATGCTGCCAACCCTAAGGCAGGTAGTTCAAAACCACCAGCTGCTCCATGAGAGAAAGATCCCTAATCTCTGTCCACACAATTTATAACTTCTGAAAAGCTGATGGTCAGTTATGAGTCATTTCCAACTTGACCACAAAGAGTTTGAGAGTTTTTCTAGTCTATAACATAAATATACTCTCAATTATAACCAAAAAAGCACAACCATTAAAGGATAAACTAGATGATTTGGACCTTCTAAAATGTAAATATTTATGTGCTGCAAAAGATTTCTCCAAAGCAATGAAAAGAGAGCCTATAGACTGAGAGAAAAAAAAATTTGTCAATATTTAACAAAGAATTTATTCTTCAGTAGAATAGATTTAGAGATGATCTGAACAGAATACTTAGAACTTGAATTGTAACTTGTCACTTCATATATAAACCCCATAATCCTAAATATTGTCTGCAACTGGTATCTGGCCATTGCAACCAATACTGAACCTAATAGATGAGGGAGTTCTGGTGGCCTAATGGCAATAAGCTGTGCTGCAATCCCAAAAGCATGTGATTTGAGGTCATCAACTGCTTTTCCAGAGAAGGATGGGCAGTCTCCTCCCACATGATTAACTGCCTCTGAAAACCCACTGGAGGGTCAGCTATGTGTTGGTTCCAACTCTATAATAAACAGCATATAGTAGATGAGGAATTGATCATCAATTACTCATGTGCAAGTTCAAATTAAAGCTGAAGAGAATAAAAGCAATCCCACAAAATCCAAAATATGACCTTGATTCTATCCCATCTGAATTTAAAAATCATCTCCAGAACAGATTTGAGACATTGAATACTAATGATCAACGACAGGATGAGTTATGAGATGGCATCAAATGTTTAATCTATGGAGAAAGCAAAAGGTTCCTGTAAAGACAGAGAAGCAAAAAAAACATGAAATTGGGTGATAGACTTTTAAAACTGCACTAAAGCATTGAGAAGCCAAAACAAAGAGGAGAAGCACAGAAGTAAAATAAATGAAGAGAAGATTTCAAAGGGCAGCTTGAGAAGACAAGACAAAGTATTATAACAGAATGTCAAAAGAACTGGAACTGGAGAATAAAAAGGGAAGAATTTGCTCAGCATTTCTCAAGTTGAAAGAACTGAAAACAAATTCAAGCCTTGAGTTGTAATACTGAGAGATACTATGGGCAAAAATCTTGAATGATGCAGGAAGCATCAAAAGAAGATGGAAGGAATATGTAGAGTCACTACAAATATATATGTTGTTGTTGTATACCATAGAGTCGGAACTGACCCATAGCTGACCCTCTGGT